GCACTCCTGTTTGTAAGCTTGAAGGGCGAGAGGCTGGCTAATTGGACCACAGTGATTTCAAAGGTGTTTCTTCCCCCTCCCTTCCCTCTTCCCCCTGCCTTCTGTGCAGATTCTGGAAGCCGGGTGTCCTCAGGTGGAAGGCGAAGGGGTTGCTCTTAACTAGAGTCGTGGGAAATGCAAAAGGGGGGGTTGACTGGCATTTGGGCCCACGTGTGAGCTGAGGGCCGGGCTTCAGCTGAAACACTAGGGAGCCATTGAAGGTTTCAGAGCAGGGTGTGGCCTGGACTGAGCTGAGTGCTTGAGGAAGGTTAATCTGGCTGCAGAGTTGGGGGGATCCAGATGGAAAGAGATCGGAGACCCACCTGGTCTGGTCCTGCAGCGAGGGAATGGGGCACAGGGAGGTGACAGAACTTGTATCTGGCTGGTGCCCTGAGTCTGGTAGGTCCCGGTGGCTTGGGGACGCTTGCGGAAGGGAATGGCGGGAAGTGTGAGTGGAAGAGGGGAGGGCACAGCAGGCCTGGTTTGGGGCTGGCTCTGCAGTCCCAGTAAATCTGCTGGGCCCAGTGTCCCTGTGGACAGCTTCTCCTGCTAAATGGCCCAAGCCCAGAGTGGCTGCCCCGGAGCTGGCAGGGGTAAGAGTTCCCCTTAGTAGCACCAAGGGGACTTGGTGGGTAGAAGTGGTCCTGTTCAGCTTGGTGGCCTTCTCATAAACTCGGGGCACGTGGTGGGCTGAGGCAGGCCTCCCCAGGGACCCAGACTACTGGAGGCCTCCCCCAGGGGACGGTAAAGTGGCCTTTTTATAGCGGGGGCCTCTGCACAGCTGTGCAGCCTGAAGACCCTCGGAGTTACGACGACTCAGGGACATGTCTCTCTGCAAACATTTTCCCAGCACCCCTCTCCCTGCCGCTGCTGGGGAGGGAGTGATTCGGATCTGATCTAAAGACCAGGGTCTTTGGAAACCTTTTCAGCAGCAGGGTCCCCCCGCCCCAAAAAAAAACCCGAACCCCCTTCCCCGGGCCCCCCCCAACCCTTGAAAAGGCCTTAAAAAACCCCCCACCCAAAAAGCCCAAGGGGAACCTGGAACAAGCCGCAACCCCCGTCCCGGCCCCCCGCCGGACTGACCCGCTGTGCCAGCCGCCCGCCCCACCTCCCAGTGCGCCCCCAGGCTCTGCCCCCTCGGGAACGGCTGTGCGGGAGGCCCTGCCGTGGGCTCCCGGGGCTGCTGAAGGAGAGGGAAGGGGCCCAGAGGCAGCTACCCCGTAGCTGGAGGGAGGAGTCTGGGGTCCTCCCATGCATGTTGAACACGTATGTCCAAGGTGTGCACGCTGCCCCCCTGGGGCGACGGCGCCTCACCCTGGGAGAGGGTCTGGTCTGGGGACCCTGAGGAGCCGAGTTGCCCGGGATGCCTGCATTCTCCCGACTGCCTGGGGACGCCAGGGGGCTGAGAACTTGTTCTTGAGATAACAAACTCGCTGTGACCCAGGTTGGCTCCAAGGGAGTGACTCAGCCTCTGGGCCCCTGGGGGAAGCCCCAAGGAGGGTCAGGGCTGGGAAGGGATGGTCCTCGGGGAATCTCGTCAGGAATATTTGCCCTCGGTGTCCTTGGAAAGTGGCTGTGCACTCTCTGGCGGGCAGCCAGGCCCGAGCCAGGCCTGTCCCGGTGGGGCATTAGTCATCCGGAGCCTTCTTTTCTTGGTCATGTCGGCCCCTTTCCCTGGGCACATCTCAAGGGCTGGGCTTTGCTGTCAGGGGTGAAAAAACGGGGAAGGAGGGGACATTTGGAAGAGCAGCCCCTCCTGCGTACTGCTCAGGCCTTTAAAATGTCCCCAGCAGCCCCACTGTGGCAGGACTGGCCCTGGAGGGAGTAGAGGGGGTGTGTGTGTGTGAGAAAGAGAGAGAGAGAGAGAGAGAGAGAGAGAGAGAGAGAGAGAGAGTTTTTCGATCTTCCGAGTCTGCGAGTGTGTAAGAGCACAGCCGAGCTCTGGGGCCGCCCTGCAGACCGAGGCCGACCCTTTCCGCTGCCATTGGGACACCGCGACCTGCTGGAGGCCCGGCCCGCAGCGCTTTGGAGAGGAAGAGGTTGCTGGTCCAGGGGGAAGGTCTGGAGTGGAAAACAGTGTCTCGCCCCAACACCAGGGAGATACAGAGCCCCTCAAATACAGCCAAAGAGAAAAACACCTGAAAAGGAAAAGAAAAAGGGGTTTCTGTCTCCTTTCTGCCGGGAACACATGTTGCCGAATGGGGCTTTTTAATGGTGCTTTTGATTCAGGTAACACCAGACCCGAAACATCTGTCTAACCTTAATATGTGATAAAAATGTCTCCTGCTCCCCCCGGAGATCGTGTTTCGGGGTCTGGAGCTGTTCTGTCAGAATAACAAGCCTGTATAGCGAGCCTATAACCCAATTCCGTTTTATTCTTTTTTTTTCCTGGCCAAACCCCCAAACTCGGGCACCGTTACTTCCCCCCAGCGGCCCTCGTGGGTGAGGAAAGCAGCCCCGAGGACTGAGTTTCCCTGACTTGGAGTCCCACCGGTTCATCTGAGGAAGCTGCTGTTGATCAGGCGCTTTGGTCTATGGAGAATCCATTAGTTCTGAATTTTGCAGTAGCGGAAATTGTCTCATTTTCATGAATTTCTTTTGTGTATGTATATTTTTTAAGAGGGAGAGCGGCCTCTGTACTTGGGGCTTCCTCTGATAGTAACCTCAGACCATGTTCAGTCAACATGGTTAAACCCTTGGCAGGCTCGGCGGGGGCCTGCTAGCCCAGCTCAGCAGGCGGTGACCTACATGTTCGATATCATGTCACGAGTCTAAGATACGGGAGCTCAGAGGACAGGCGTGTTGCCCAATCTGGGCATTCCAGGAAAGCTTCCTGGAGGAGGTTATACCTCATCAGGGTCTAGAGGATGGGAAGTGAGGTGGGAGGGGAATGCCAGGCCGGGAAAGCAGTACCAGCAGGTCACAGAGGAGAGAGGCCTGCAGTAAGCGGGGAAGCAGCGGACGGTCAGCACTGCTCAGAGCGAGTCGTGCCGCGGGAGGCGGGTGGATCGCGGCAAA